AAAAAAGTGGATAATCTCAATCATTATTTTCATTTGGCGGTAACTCTCTATATCTCTAAAAATTGTAACACCACGTAACCCCTATAAACCAAAGGACACGCTATTTCATTTCGCCATTATACCCACGTCTTCTCGTCTCTTCCTCTATAGCAATCACTACTTATCTTCTTGCTTCCCTGCTACGCTTCTTACAATCTTCTACGAAAATTGTACTTTGCAGTCAATGGCAATTCCACAAAGCCCTTCTGACAACTCCCTTAACTTCGAAGATTTTCAAAACCTCATCACCAGGCCGTATATCAATTCAGCTTATCTTTCATCAGCCAACCCTGACCTTCAGGAGTACTACTTAGGCCCATTATTTAAAGATNATATCAATTCAGCTTTTCTTTCACCAGCCAACCCTAACCTTCAGGAACTCTATTTAGGCCCATCATTTAATGATGCTGAATCAGTTGGGCAAGTGGCAGTGGGTTAGCTGTTCCCCTTTACTTAAGAACCTCATTTTTTGAACTCTCTACCGTTGAGGCCAATAAGTGAGAAATGTATTCGTACTTGGCCCAAAACTGATACTATTTTTCATAGATGACATGTACGTATGGTAAATCATGGCCCCACCAAGGTGATTTTTGATCGTGTTAGGATTTCTGATTTATTAGAAATTGCTCTTCATCCCCCAATTTATGACCTGGTGCTTTTTTCAATTGCACTAAGTTTTTGGTCGTTTGAGTACAATATTTTTGTTTTCCCCATTGGCCCAATGTCTGTTACCCTAAGAGATGTTGGAGCCCTAGTAAACTTTCCATCATTGGGCAATACCATTTTTCCTAGCATTTTGGTTACCGGCATTACCCCAAAATTTGACAAAAAACTTACTAAGTCTTATTCAGGCATACAAGGAATTTATAATAATTATAGCGCTGAACCTTCCCATGCTGAACGTGTGGCCTTTCTTCACATCCCAGCACACATGCTTCCTCCTCGTTATCCTCATTTTCCTCATCTTCATTCCTTTTGTTTTTGAATTCATTGGCTAGTAAATAATTATTAGCCATAACAGGAGGTAACGTACTGAACTGAATAGTGAGGAGTTGCTCTGGATCTTCATCATCTTTATTTCCTCGCTCAAACTTTGATCTCCCGGAAGAACTTTCTAGTAACTTTTCCATTGATTCGCCTATACCGGTCTCTTTACTATCTTCAAGAATATTTTGGTTGGCCACTTCGAGCAATTTAGGTGCTTTAGGACTTGGCAATCTCTGTTGTTGCCTTATCATTGGTCTATAATTCTGTTGAAAACGTCTATGTTGAGTTCTGGTCATCTCATTGAAAGGTATCACCTTTCCTGCATTATACCAGAATGAATGCCATACATTTGGTTGGCGAGGTTGCGGCCTGAATATCCTTTCATTGTTCATCGGCCTGAACTGCCTCTCAAAAGGCGGTTCTCTATAGAA